TTACACACGCACACACACACACACACACACACACACACACACACACACACACACCAGTGCGTTCAAGTAAGACTGGGGAGATCTAAATAAGATCAGTAGGCCCGGCTCGGTAGCTCAGCCTGTAATCCCAGCGCTTTGGGAGGCCAAGGTGAGTGGATTGCCTGTGCCTCCAGATTTGAGACCCACCCAGGCAACTTGGCGAGACCTCATCTCTACAATAAATCAAAAATTAGCCGGGAGTGGTAGTGCGCGCCTGTGGTTCCGTCTACTTGGAAGGCTGAGGCGGAAGGATTGCCGGAGCCCAGCAGGTCGAGGCTGCGGTGGCCACGAGTGTGCCACTGCACTCCAGCCTGGGCGACGGAGTGAGACTCCAACTCAAAAACAAAAACAAAAACAAAAATAAGATCAGTAGATTGCATCAATGTTAACATCCTGAGTATGATATTGTAATTTCTCTTATTGGGAGAAACTGAGTAAAGGGTACACAGGCTATCTTATTTCTTTCAACTCCATGTCCATCTACAATCATATCAAAATAAAAGTTCAATTTAAAAAGGGGGAAGGTTGGATGCAGTGGCTTATACCTGTCATCCCAACACTGTGGGAGGCCAAGGAGAGAGGAGTATTTGAATCTGGGCGTTCAAGACCAGCCTGGGCAACATAGTGGGACCTCCTCTCTAAAAGAATTAAAAAATTAGTCAGGAGTGGTGGTACGAGCCTGTAGTCCCAGCTACTCAGGAGGCTGAGGTGGAAGGATCACCTGAGCCCAGGAGATCGAGGCTGTGGTGTGCCGTGATCATGCCACGCACTCCAGACTGGGTGACAGAGTGAGATCCCAACTCAAAAAATATACAAATAAAATTTTAAAAATAAATTAAAAGGGGGAAATGTTGAGGTCAATATCAAATCAACTTATTTTGGTCTTGAATAAAGTATTACTGTATTAGTAATTTGTTTTTTAAAAGACTGGGCACAGTGACTCATGCCTATAATCCCAGCACTTTGGGAGGCCGAGGTGAGATGATTGCCTGAGCCCAGGAGTTTGAGACCAGCCTGGACAACATCGTGAGACCTCCTCTCTCCAATAAATCAAGAAATCAGCCAGGCATGGTGGTACAAACCTGTAGACCCAGCCACTTGGGAGGCTGAGGCAGAAGGATCACCTGAACCCAGGAGACCAAGGCTGTGGTAGTCAGCCTGGGTGACAGAGTAAGACTCTGACTAAAAGAAAAAAAAAAAAGGCCTGGCATGTTAGTGCATGCCTATAGTTCCACCTACCGGGAGGCTGAAAAGTGGGAGGATGACCTGAGGCCAGGAGGCCAGCCTGGATAACACAGCAAGACCCCATCTCTAAACAAAATTTTAAAAAAATCAGGCAGGCATGGGGTGTGTTACTGTAGTCCCAGCTACTTGGGAGGCTGAGGCAGGAGGATCTCTGAGACTGAGCCCAAGAGTCTGAGGCTGCAGTGAGATATAATCGCATCACTTCACTCCAGCCTAGAGACAGAGTGAGACCTTGTCTCTAAAAGTAATAATAATAATAATAGTAGCAGTAGTGGTAAAAGGTTCACCTGGCTGCCCTGTGGAGAAGAATTAACAGGGGACAAGAGGAGGGACAGGAAGACCCACTAGAGACAGAAGCAATCCAGGCTGAGAGCGAATGCTGTTCTGGACTGCGGAGAGGCATCAGATAGAATAAATTAACAGAGCTGAGCCACACTTACTTGCTTGTTTGTTTTTTTTTTGACTTGGAGTCTCACTCTGTCGCCCAGACTGGAGTGCAGTGGCACACTGCTCACAGCCACCCCAGTCTCGACCTACTGGGCTCAGGCGATCCTTCCACCTCAGCCTTCCAAGTCGCCGGGACTATAGGCGCACACAACCAACGCCTGGCTAATTTTCGATGTATTGTAGAGACACGGTCTCACCAAGTTGCCCGGGCTGGTCTCAGATCCAGGGGCTCAGGCAATCCACTCCCCTTGGCCTCCCAAAGTGCTGGGATGACAGGCTGAGCCACCAAGCCTGGCCCGTTTCCGTCTTTATATCTGTGTGCACCCATTATGTAGCTCCCACTTATAAATGAGAACATGCAGTTTTCCATTTCCTGATTCTGCATTAATTCATGTAGGATCATGGCCTCCAGCTGCATCCCTGTTGCTGGAAAAGGACATGATTTAATTCTTTTTATGGCTGCATAGTATTCCATGGTGTAAACACACCACATTTTCTTTCTCCAATCCACCGTTGATAAGCACCTGGGTTCCACGACTTTACTATTGTGAATAGTGCCACGATAAACATACTAGTGCCGTATCTTTTTAGTAGAACGATTTCTTTTCATTTGGGTATGTACCTAGTAAAGGAACTGCTGGGTCGAATGGTAGTTCTGTTTTTCGTTTTGTGAGAAATCTCCAATCTGCTTTCCATAGAGGTGGAACTAATTTGCATTCCCACCAGCGGTAGGTGAATGTTCCCTCTTCTTTGCATGCTCTCCAAAATCTGTCATTTATTTTTTAATAATAGCGGTTCTGTTGAGCCATATGTAGGAGGTAGACTCCGCAGACCTGGTGGTTGATGGGATGGAGGTGATAGAGGGATAGACAGAAGTCAGGCAGGTTGGGAATATTCACTAGGATGGAGAATGAAGGAAGAACAGACTTGGGGGAGAAAGTGACGAGGGCAGGGCATTGGGTGAGACGAGCTGAGTTGTGGATAGCACGTCTGCATGGAGATGTCCAGGAGGCGGTGGGATACACAGGCCTGGAGGTCAGGAGAGAGCTCTGGACTGAGACGGAGCCACGGTGTCCTTCTCCCGTCCCTTCTTCCTATTAGCACGCTCTCCATCAAACCCTGAGCGGGAACTCCCAGGTGGTCAGGCAGGGTCTCTCTTTTCCGGGAGCTTGCATTCCAGTGGAGAAAACAGACGAGTCCTTGGAACAAATAGAATACGAGATGCAGATGACAGGGCGCACACAAGCATAGAGACAAGAAACCCCTAGTGCAGCCTGAGAAGGCTTCCTGGAGGAGGTGGTGTCTGAGATGACTTGATGGGGAAGGTGGAGTTAGCAAGCCCTTTGTTGCGTATCTGTAAATGATTTCCCCAGCGGTGTGTCCCTAGACCCGGCTGTTGACGCGCGCCCCTCTTCTCTTTTCTAGTCATCCGTGAGTTCTGTCTCCATCGCCTCCCCGCTGAGGACCCAGTCCCCTCTGGAGACGCTACAGGCCGAAATGCTGTGGGAAATGTACCTGGTGCTGCTGGCCATTCGGAAACAACTGCGGCTGCTGGCGCGCAGGCAGGAGAGGCGTAGGCGGCGCCACGTCCGGGCCCACACGTCCCCCCAACCCAGCCCGGTTCAGTGCCTGAAATTGGACGCCCGAAGTCCCCTCTAGGGGGGACCCCGGGTCCTCAGAGAGCCCCCACCTCACGTTTAGGCAAAGCCGTTAGGAGGGGCCAGGGCGTAGGGCGGCCGGCCAGAAGCTGTGGGCGAGGAGATATCTCACACTGTCCCCTCTCCCTGGGAGTCCAAGACCAGGTCTGCCGTCCCATATACTCCCCTTCGTTCCATGTATTCAGTTACTTTGAAAAATTACCAAAACCTGGGGAAATAAAAGCCAGCTATTTCTGAGTCGGCGTAGGGTGTGTTTGTGCATGGTCGGAGGCGGTCAGGGGAGTTGGGTGGCCAGGGGGAGGCAGCTGAGGTGGGGGCTGACTCGTGTGGGAGGGATCCGTGGGTCTGTTTGGGGGTGGCGGGAATCAACGGGGTTCCTGCTTTGGGCTCTGCACCCTTCGAGGGGCTGAATTGCCGTGGGCAACTCTGCCTGGCTAGTAAGGACAGCAGTAGGTGCCATTTCTCAAGGACCTGCTGGGCACCAGGCACCCAGCCAGCCACTCTCCCTGGCAGTCTCCTACAAGAAAGGCATTTAGGCTGGGCACGGTGGCTCGCACCTGTATTCCCAGCACTTTGGGAGGCCGAGGTGAGATTGCCTGAGCCCACGGGTTCAAGACCCGCCTGGGCAACTTGGCAAGACCTCATCTCCACAGTAAATCAAAACATTAGCCGGGCGTGGTAGCGCACACCTGTAGTTCCAGCGACTTGGAAGGCCAAGGCGGGAGGATCACCTGAGCCCAGCAGGTCGAGGCTGCGGTGGCCGGGAGCGTGCCACTGCCCTCCAGCCTGGGCGACGGAGTGAGACTCCAATTCAGAAAAAAAAAAAGGAAAGGCATTTGGGTGGGCTATGGGACCCACTCAGGTTTCTACAGCAAAAGAGGCCTCATTGGAAACCACCTGCGCCCAGAGCCAGCCCCCTGCCCTGCCTCTCTGGCCCTTTGGGCTCGCCACGGTCGTGGCTTCACAGGGTCGTGCGTGTGCAGGTGCATGTGGGAAGCCGCGGGAGACACAGCCATCTGCTGGGAACTCCTGGCCGTTGCCTGCGCCCTGCCCAGACCTGGGACTCACCTCCCAGGGGGTCCAGCGCCGGGCCAGACTGGGGGAGGTTGGCCTGATTTGGAGGCAGGCTGCGGGGGCTGGAGCAGGACCAGAGGGAAGACCCTGGAGCCGTCTAGCCAGGCTGCGCAGAGGGACGGAGGTGGCTCCCCAAGGAAAAGCCGGGATATTTCACAAAATCGACAGCAAAATTTGGGGGTCTGAGGGGTCACAGGGCTTGGGGCTGACCTGGGAAAGGAGGAAGGGATGGCAGCAGAGTCCAAGCTTGGGGGGCAGTGGAGACCTCAGAAATGGGAGGGGTGAGGCTGAAGACAGCTGTGCGGGGTCTTGTTCAAGGAGCGGTGGCTTGTGAACAGCAGCGGTGAGGGTGGGCAAAGCCAGGGGACAGTGAGGAGCAACTGGGGTGGTTTGCTGAAAGCACTAGATCCCCTAGAAAAGTCAGCATCAGCTGGGCTTGGTGGCTCAGCCTGTCATCCCGCTCCTTTGGGAGGCTGAGGTGAGTGGATTGCCTGAGCCCGTGGCTTCGAGA